TATATATACACACACACATATTTTTTTAACTAAGGTTGATTAACTGTGGCAGCCACCTCAATTTGTGTTGACTCCAAAACTTAATCAGTTGCAGATGTACATCCGATGATCAACTTGAGAGTTTCATTAAAGTTCACCCGGTGGTTCATGAGATAAAAGGATCGAAAACCAAACACACACACACACGCTCAGCAGTGGGCGATAACGAGCTGAAAATGCTGCATCTCTAGACGAGCCTGTAGGATAATTAAAATGCTGTCAACTGAACATGAGCAGATAACTGACTTGGGGAAAAACATTACTGTGGTCTGAAGGAAACAGGAAACTTAGATATGACCAYGAAAAGGGGGCTGACTTTTAAATAAACCGAAGTTAAAATATTTGTCAACCCCAGAGAATTCCCTCTCAGTCCAGTAGCCTACATCTTGACACCGACAGGCGGCTCTGAAGGGAAAACCCAAACCAGGCGCAGCAAAATTTCAGGGTCAGTGATAATTTTCTCACTTTCAACATCATCTAAAGTGAACTGAAGCAAAGCCGTCTGATGCAAATCTTTTTTTCATTCAGTTCAAATGCTTTTTATTTGAACTCTCGAGCTGCCGCCTCAGTATAATTTGCATTTTTAGATTATGTTTTCTCAAAGGMAAATGTTGACTCCGCAAACAGAAATATTCTCCTCAACGTTTTAGCTTGGGGAGTAATTTCATCTGTTGTTCTGTTATATGAAACTTACAGCTTTTCCTCACGATGCTGAGAAGACATTTGTCAATTTAAAWGCCACTGTTGAAACTAATGGCACACAGACAGGAGCACAGGTGACAGTGAGGCCATTACTCCGAGTTCAGTCATCCCAAAGAGTTTATTAGACCTCAGCTCGACACGCTGCTGAGATTACAGTCTGCACTTTAGCAATAAATTCTGCTTTGTATTGTTTCTATTTTGAGCAACCTTACAATGGTTAATTCTTACAGCAATCGTCTGGGCAGCACCGGAGGGACYGAGCAGTGAAAAAATGTGATCCACGAGCTAAATTGATGTTACAGCTGCAATAAACACCTGAGGGATGGAGAGCTACCAAAGGCGAGGGGATTTATGGAAACAACAAAGTCTTTTTTCTGGGGGGATTTGCTGTAACGTGTGAGCAGATGAGGTAAAGCACCAGAAATTTATTATCTGAAATTTTCTGTCACCAAGACTCCCTCACAAGACAGTTTCCCTTCAGAACCCCSTTTGTGTTCATTTATTTTCACTTCTACGCATAATATTTCAAATAAATTAAATGTTGAACACTTAAAAAAGCGACCCTTTTATGAACTTTTGAAACTGAATGAGAACTTCAGAAAGCAGGTCTGAGCTGACCTCCTCCACTGAGAAGTGGACGCCTGATAAGGCCGCCTCCTGGCACCTCTCTGTAAAGGTTTAACTGGCAGGACCAGCTGAGGCCCCACGGTCAGTCCGGGTCTTGTTTGAAGGATTACATCTTCCAGCTGGCCTACAAATGGCTGCCAGTCCCAGAGGAGGAGATGGGAGCTGGGCAGGGGCGTTACTAAAGGCACGTTAAGGTGAGCGTTTGGTGTTAATCATCCATGGTTTCCATGCAGAACGTTGTCCAGAGAGCTCATCGTTAGATTGATTCTTGTTAAAGCTGATCTGTGTACTTTTAAATAAACACATCCTGAAACAAAGTTGCACAAATATGGACTGACTGAAAGAACAAGGTTGCGAATGATGCAGTTCTGTTTTCATTCTAAGAATTATTGTCCACTTGTGAAAGTGTTAAAGGGCCAATATTATGTGTTTCTCAGGCATATATTTAAATACTACACCATAATAAAGTATCTATGTCACCTTTAGCTGTTATTAAAATGCTGTTTTTATGGTTAAATAGAAAAATAAAACTTTTCTTCTCATCACTTCCTCTTCTAAACGCCTTGAAATTGGCCTCTGTCTCTTTAAGAACCACCTTCCACTTCTGTCTCACCCATTCCAGGGATGAGCTTTGTACCAGCAAGCGTTTAGGCAGCTCCACGTGGCTACCACAGGAGATTCAAGGATTTCTCAAAAATACATGAATGAGTCAAAGCAACACTCTGGGTATGTTTTTGATGAGTGAATGACATTATAACATGACATAAATCTCTGTGGTCTTATTTATTTATGTCAAGAGAATAAAAGTTTTATTCATTATAAGCAGAAAATCCTGAAAAAAAAGGTAAACCAACCTAAAGATTTTGTTTTCTGAATTGTACTGTTTTGATTAACCTTTTCTACTCCAAAGTGTGCATCAGAAATCCATCATGGAAACTCAGCTTAACAGCTGTAAATAAAAAAGTAATTAAATTTTCAGCTTGTTTCATCTTAAATATTGTTGATGTTTAACAACATTCATCTAGGATTAATTCAGTCTATATAGAGGTYTGACCCTGAACCACTTAAAGGTTGATTATATTCCACTTTGACATGTTTTTTTTCTCAAATATGTGTATACTTAAAGTCAAGCTTTCCCTGCAGAGGGCATCAAATAAGGAGGAGTTACACTGCAGGGGCACAGGATAATATAGATTTAATCTTAGATTGAATGACTGCAGCAAGTTGCCTGTTCGCTGCAGGATTGACCGGATGGACCTTCTTTAGCCTCGCAYAACTACGCCTGAAGCCTGTAAGGGTTACACCTCAGCCAGATGACAGCATTAATCTGG